CCTCCTCACTCCGCCACAGGTATTTCATAGAGACCTGGGGATAGGTGGACAGGGAAGTTCAACCAGAGGGCTCAGGCCAGGCAGGCAGTGGGCAGCCCTTTCCGCACAGCCAGGGATAGCTGAGGCTGCTGGGCACCCAGACACGGTCAGGAAGGGACACCCAGGGACCGCAGAGGCCACCCACCCGGGGGAGGCGCTGGCCACGGCACAGCCCAACCCTCTGCAACAGGAAGACTCCACCTGGGACAGAGACTGGCCTGGATGACAGCCAGGAGCCCTTCCGGAAGCGCCCACGTGGCCAATGCTGCTCCGGTCCATCTGCAAAAGCGCGGAGCGGGCGCCCTGACACAAATCTTTTACTGGGCGCTCAATTAGTGCATTTGGCAGGTGGTCAGATGCCCCCTGGAGAGCAGCCCCGGGAGAGAGCTCATTACCCGAGATCCTACACCTGGTGCCTGCAAGGCCCCAGGGGAATTAGCTCTGCGCTGTGATTTACGGCACCTCCCTTTGTCCTTTCCTGAAGGAGACAAGAGTCTCTGGACCTCAGAGAGCGCTTCTGAGGCGCTGTGTGACGGTCTCCCTGAGGGCCTTGGCCTCTGCAGTCACAACAGCCAGCTGCCTCCTCCTGGGAGCCTCTCCTGGTTTAGGTAACTGCTGCATCCCCCTCGCCTGGCTCCCATTTGCAAAGGGCATGGGGTGGGGTGGGGGAGGTTTCAGCGGGGACCTCGTCAGAGGGGGGTGCTGGCCCTGCTTGCTGAGTGTGTAGGTTCGAGAGTCATGTCCGGCCTAGCGTGGGTGTGGCTGCAGGCAACAGGTGGCCACAAGTCTCTCAGAAGCAGGAAAGCTGAACACAATGGCACACACAGGAAAGGCTCCCCAAAGCGGGGAGGGCAGGTGGGCCTGAGGCAGGGTGGGGGGGCAGCCTTTGGCTCAACCAGACCCACGTAGGCCGCTCTCTCCTGGAGCTCCTCGCTACTTCTGCTGGGAAGTCGTTCAAGCATTCATTCATTCATTCATTCATTCATTCATTCATTCCAGCTCTTCACAGCCTGGGCCCCTGGGTGCTGTCCTGAACCAGGGACCCTGCAGGACACCGGGGAAGGAAGGAGGTGCCTCTGGGCCATTCGCAGGGAAAGCTTGAGGCTGAGGTCTGGGCAGCAGACCTGGGCGGTCCTGAGGGAGGACCTGGAAGGCCGGAGGAAGACCAGGGGTGGGGCTGCCCGGTGAGCCAGGAGGGCAGAGGCACTGCACTTGTCAAGATGCTGGCCTGAGCCGCAGCTGAAAGCAGCGGAGGTGTGTGGGTCAGCAGAGGGGGGACGTGGTATGAGGCACCTGGCCGCGGCCACATCTGCCCCGTGTGCATCTGTCCCCAAAGCAGAGAAGGACCCAGCGTCCTCCCGGTTGGCTGGCTGGCTCCCGCACACCCACCTGGCTCTGGGAGCCAGTGCACGGCCCTGGCCACTGACAAGCCCCCTTCACGAAGCTCTCTCAGGCCTCAGTGCCTGTCCTGCTACTTGCCCAGGTCCCTTTGCTCAGGAGGGGGTGCGATTCGCCATCTGCACAAGCCCAGAACCAGCTGGCCCTCTGGGTCCCTAACCCTGCGGCCCCCACCACGCCCTATGGGTCCGTGGCCCCGGTTGGGCCCTGCAGGCGCGAGGCAAGTGCCATCGTTTCCTGTGCATCGCCCAGGCTCCCGCAAGGTGGGCGAGGGAGCCAGAGCGGGCCAGGTTCCCGTGGTTCTCCGGGGCACGGCTGGCACCTATGAGGGGCCCAATAAATAAATGCGGAATGGCTAAGGCCTCTGCCGAACGGCGCCCCCCGTTTCCCCACCGCGCCGCTGGCGACGCAGGAGCGCCGGTCGCCTCACCCGCGGACTGTTCCCGGGGACCAGGCGGTGGCATTCACCAACC